TCTAAACGATCAGAGTTTTTTTAAAAAAAAAAAGGAAGATGGCCACGAGAGCATTAACAACAGACAAACAAGGATGGAGGCAAGGTGGAGAGCGAATAGAAAAAAGATATTTATATCTTTTGGCACAAAGCTGCGTGAAAGCTTACAGGTCATTTGATTGAGGCATTTGACTGTAATGCAAAAAAGGGAGAGGAACCCACAACAGGTATCTGAGCAGGGCATAAGTGTATAAGCATATAAGCCATCGAAGAGGAAAATGGTTTTATGCATTTTTTTAGCTGACATCTTTTGACAGTATGCATGGAAAGAAGAGGGAACTGTATTCAAAGCAGTAGTTAACTCAGACAGGCTGAACAGCTGGGGGATGAAAAGAGAGGAGAAAGAAATGATCTGCCTTTTCTGAGTCACTTGTAAGTTGTGTGCGAGTAAGGGCACGTAAGAGCCACGTTCTTGGTGGTATGCTGTTAGTGGAAGATGGAAATCTGTCCTTTCTTTTGAGATTCTTTGGGTGAGATTTCACTCCTCTCATTTCTTGATGTGGGTTCAAAAAATAATCAAGTTATCCTTCACACAGTAACAAATCCTGAAAGCCAAAGGAAATGCATATGCAGTTGTACATTCCAATTTCTCCCAAACTAAACAAGAACAGAAGACAGTAATTAGCTAACTTAATGCATCTAATTAGTTCTAAGTATTAAAACAGGAGACAAATCTTTGCGCTATACAATTTAGAAGATGATTTCCCTTATTTATTATTATTTGGGATCTGGAGATTTCATGTATGTAAGGAATAAAGCAAAGTGTATGTTTAGGGTAAAGCATCATATTGGTAAGAGGGGTTTTTGAGAGCTCTTACTGAATGTTGAATGACATGTATGTAAATCTAGAAAGCTTCTTTATAAAATAAACCCTAATAAAAATGTTTGCTTAGTAGGCCTGCATAGATATTACTTGTCCTTGGTCAGTACAGGATTTACATAGCTATGGCATTGATTCTGCCAAAACTAGAGAAGCCCTACTATATTTTCTGGCACTATTCAAAAGTTTGTACTGTAAATACAGCTATGAGGGGCTAGGCCTTAATCTGATCAATCATATCTAACTAATCACTGAAAAAGTATCACAGACTTCCAATAAGCCTGTTCATCTACCAGAGTTATGGCAGAGCACTGGAAAGACTCTCTTGAATTTTGCAGAGAAGAGGAACAAAAGATAGACTATTTAAGGAAACACAATATTTAGTGAAAGCCATGCACTGCAATAATACCTGGCTGTCTGCAGTTGAAATTGGACTGGGCTGAATTTATTGAGCTGTTATAAGTGATATAATGTCTACTGCATCTATTTCCTATTTAGTCCATCAGAACATACTACGCTGAAATCTGGAGATTCCTTTTTGGTCATATGATCATAATAACTGGAGTGCACAAAGACCACTGTATTTTTTTCCCCCACCTGCTTTCCTGGAAATCCTGCACTGTAGTTTGCACATTTGAAATAGTTCAGGTGACTTTTGTTTTTCAAAAGTAAATCCATCTACTGAGAAAAATGATGATAAAACTACATCCTCAGGAAAAGAAAAACAGTAAAGGATACGAAGAATGAAGTATACCTCCCTTCTCCTATGTATACACAGACAGAGTAGTCAAATTCACTGCAACCTTGCCTGCAGAGACACGGTCTTAAATTCCCCCTTTTAACAGCCAAAGTCGTGTGACTGACCAGCTCATCTCCCCCTCCTTAATTCAGAGCTGCTTTAAGTGACTTTGTATTTGGAGGTAGGCGTCCTACATATTTTGATGCCCAACTATAAGTCTATATTGTGTGTTTTTCACCATTTATTAACATATTTCTGATTTTACTTGGGTTGTGTTATTAACGCTTTATCTGATGTATATTTTAGAAACTTATATTTTGAACTAAAACAAAACGCTGCAAAAATAGGTTCCTTAGATTCCTGAAATATCTCTTCTAAAAAGGCGGAGGTACAGCTATTGTTACAAA